ATAAAAATATTTTTCACACCACTCCAAGCTGGTCTTTCCAGTAGGGACTTTTAGTAAATGCTTTCTGGTTTAGTACGTAAAACAAAAAAGCCATTGGTCATTTACACATTTAATTCAAGTTAATTCAATCTAATTGTTTATCTTCGGTATTGCAATAATGTACACAGCCCGGGTCCACAGCCGCATCACTCATGAATGTTGTTTTGGCGACAGCAGTGTCAGGTCCAGAGGCCGTGATGGCAGAAGTGAGAGCCGAAGTGGCCCACAGTAATTCCGTGAGCACGTGGAGAAACACACATCTCTAACTGCGCCAGACATGGGCAAATCCATCATGACACTATGATATAGCTGGCTGGCTGTCTTCGAGGGTCAAGCAGAGAGGGGGGATTTATGCCTTTTTCTCTATATTCTGGCAACAGTGCTGGACAGATGGCAGGAAACAATATCAGCACAGGCAGAGGGATTGCAAGACAGCAGCGTTAAAGGCTATTAAGGGCCTGTGTTTGTCCTCAAAAAACATTTTTTTCAATACAAATGGCATTGCCACGGCCAATACACAGTCTGAAAGGAATTTTTATAGTCCCGCAGCATACAAAATAAAAAATATTAAGCAAATGCACTCAATAATATAGTCCGAAAAATAAAATCTTGTATGTGCATTAGTTGGACGGTCAGAAAAAAATACATTTTTGTGTGTTTATTTTAAGCTATAAAAGCATAACTACTTTGTTTGAAATAATATTAAATTGACCAACTGTTTCAGACATTCTTCATTCAAACAGAAAGCAGCACTATTGGTGCTACTGGAAATTGTACATAATTGTGCCCACTGAACACCAAGGTCGCACAATCAAAAAACTTCAGAAATATACCTTACACACAGCAGCTTCTGTGATGCCCTGCAGATCAATAACACTGAAGGAGAACCAGAAGCGAAACGAGAGCGGTCAAACGCCTGGCCTATTTTTACAGCTGTGAGAGAGTGTTGATGGGAGCAAGAGAAACAACGCTGACATGAGATGTAGGGTAAAGATAGTCCTCAGGAAGTGACACGCTGGAGGTCAATACTACAGTATGGAAGCATGAAACTGTCTCTCCTACTTTCATATTCTTTCCATTTTCCTCTTTTTCTCTCATTAAGTCAAAGGCACAGTGCAAACATGGAAGAAGAATTTTAAAGAATTTGACCCCAATGACCTTTATATGGAGAGAAAAACAGAGGAAGAAAGTAAGTAATGCAGGTTTGGAACGACATGAGGGTGAGTAAATGATGCAGTGTTATTATTGTTCACTAAAACTAACACTATTAAAAATGATTTTCATTCACAGAAATAAAGCTGAATTAAAATAAAAACTATTAAAAACATAATAAATAAATACATTTTATTCAAAGAATTTGAAATACTAAAACTAAAACAATAGCTAAATAGAAATATAAAAATGTAAAAACAATTACAAAAACATAAAACTACTAGGACTTCAACTGAAATTAAAAATGTAATAATATAATAATTATATATATTAAAATATATAATAATATAATAAGGTAATACAAAATACTAAAAATACTAAAAACACTAAAATTAAATAAAATAATTATTTTATACATTTGAATTAAATAGTCAGGGTTTTGCTAAGCTGTAATTAACATGATTCAGACAAGCCTCAATGCATGATGGGAACCAGATACTTTTTTGTTTCTGGGTAAACGAGACTAAAACTTTTAAAGCATTGCTATTTCAACTCCATCTAGCATTAATGAATAATACATTGACTCTCACATATGTGGCCACTTTATCTTCTCTCAATCTCATGCTTACACAAAGACCCAATACATGGGATTCATTTAGAGTCATTTGGTGACAAGCAGGCTTTTTGTGGTGGACATCGGATATCTATGCCTGAGTTATGCTGGACACACACCAGTTACTATTACAGCAGGGGTCTCACACTCTAAGACACAGAGCTACTGTAGATGTGCTGAGTAGAGCCATTAATCTGGAGGAGGCGATGCCCAATATAAGGCCAGAGGTCAGAGGAAATACACTGCTGAATGAGACCTCATGCAAGAACTCATGTAAATACAGGTCATAAGGCCATCTATGGCAATTATGGATCCTACTCAGTGGAACAGATAAAAGACATGTGGAACTTGTGCTTCCTGTGTGGAACGATACACACAGAACAGTATGTACAGTACATATTACTGCAACAAACTAATATGTTACTGGTATGTGTACTACACAGATATTAAAATTGCCCGATACTGATAAACAACTAATTATTTTAATTTCAATTTCAAATAGTTATGCATTTTTATACATATCAAAAAAGCAATAAATGACCATTATTAAAATGGCAATTTATGCAAATTATTATACTATTAATTATAATTATAATGCAGTAATATTTTTTTAGTTTTTTATTATATACTGTATATATATATATATATTTTTTTTTTTTTTTTTTTTTTTTTTCCAAATAAGATTTCAAATCACACACATCCCAGGTTTCAAGCACCAGCAGAGCAACTGCCTTCAAGATTTTTTAATATCTTAATCTGCTTAAAAATACAGCTCAGCACTGCACAATGTGTTAAAATCTCTGCTGGAAATTCAGCTGAGGATTCAAGATGATAGAAAGTAAAAAAAAAAAAAAACTTCCCAATCTCATTACCATTCACTCTCAGTGAGAGCCATTAAAATTGCATATCTTGCCCTGAGCCACGTCTGATAAACTATCACAGTTTCTTTGCTTTTATAAATCTGACATGCTCTTAAATTATGCCCTTTCTGTTTCCACTCCTTATCAATGATGCAATTTCCAATCTCAATTAGGAAGAAAAGGATCATATTTGATCTCCCGCGCTCCCCTCCACCCCATCCCGAAACCTCTTTCATCTGTTCGGCTGATGCTTTGCTCTTGAGATCAGCACCTCTTCCACCTGTCCACAGATCTGGACCGCCAGATACACTGGAGCAAAAGATAAGAGCTTTCTTCAAACCAGCCCGCAAGTTTCCATTCATAATCTGTTGACACGGCCGGCTCTTGCCCTGTGATAAAGCTTTCAGCCTCTGTGAGCGAGATTAAATAATGTACTGAGATCTGGACTGGGCTGATTTCAGACAACAGTGAGATATCTCCATTTCAGTGGGTCAAACAAATGACTAAGCAACCGGCTGTGATTCCGTGCATATTAAAAAAAAATTAAACAGGTGAGCTATCCGTCACTTAGAGATACAGACCAGCCACCTATACTTATAAGCAGATTATTGACCAAATTAAAACTTGTCATTTTACAGGCCAAAAGCAAAAAAATAAGATAAGACATGGTTGTTGTGAGCTATTTGTAATCTACTAATTTTTTAATAAATGCTAGTACTTCTTGGACAGTGGCTGGAAAATAAAAATTAAATTAAATTAAATAAAACAAGTTTAAATAAAAAATAAAATAAAACAAAACTAATTAAAATATTTTTAAAATAAAATAAAATAAAATACAAATTAAATTAAATTAAACAAAATAAAATAAAATAGTTATTTTACACATCTGAATTAGTAGTGTTGAAATAGCTTTTAAACATCTAAAATATATATATTTTTTTTCACAGTAATACTAATGGTAATTTTTAAAAATTGGGCATTTACCAGCTGTGTCTGGTGGGTGAGAAATTTAATTTCTTAGTCTGCCTCCAACTTACAGATCCACCCAATAAAGTGTAAATGACTAAATGTTCCTGCAATATAAATCGCTCTTGTATTTCTTTGTAGGTGTGTAATTTCATTGTGTTCATTTAGTATAACTCAGAAACAAAACTGTGGTCTGAAAAGCAAAGTGACACTTAAAGTCAATACCAGCCTGTAGTTTAACTCACAATTTGATTTGGTACATCCCAACCTGCAATATCCACAAATGCTGTTCTCTTAGATCATAAACAGGACGAGAAGCAAAAAGCCAACTTCACATAAGGGTAATTTTAGGAGAATCACACTTGAGATGAAACAATCTTAGTGTTGTTTGGATATATTCAATGATTTATCTGACGAAGACTGCAAATAATGACCTTGAACCAAACAGGCATTTACTGTGCACTAATTTCATGTGATGTTTCAGTGCAATTTAATGTGCATATTAATGCATGAAAGAGCTTAATTCATGTGAAATGGAAAAAAAGAGAAAAATGTCACTTCCAATGCAAAACACTGCCTGAAAGAAATAATGTCTAAAACTGATGTAAAATGTGAGTTTCCTGTATTAAATGTAATAATTAATCATTTAATTAATAAAAATCTTTATCATTCTGTCCAAATGATGAAAAGTGGCTATATTTCTGTGGAAAATGTAATAAAATGAGGTGGAAATCCGAGCTCACCGGTGTACTCGGGGTCCACATGAGGAGGGTAGAAGCGGAAGTTGATGAAGAAGGGGATGGGCACTCCAAACTTGAACCACTCCACCACGTAGGGCTGGCCGTTGAGTGGGTGGGCCACGTCACAGCCCAGAATCACGGTCTCCCCTGCACGAGCTGTCACAAACTGGGGCTCCTCTCTGACTCCGTGGGCACCTGTGAGAACATATGGACTTTGATGAGCAATCACACGCACTTAGGACTGTACCAGCTACACACTGAAACTGCTCTGGGGAGCAATGATTCATCTAACAGCTGAAAATAGATTTTGGTTAGTAGATCAAGTAAGTCTGCAGACTATGTGCTCCACTAAAGCATTGATTGAAGTTCAATTCTGCATTAATTAACTATATCCGGATATCCTGAAACTATTTTACTAATCAATATACACACACTCATTCATTCTCTATTAACTACAATACCAGTGTAGCTAATTATAGATTTTTTTTTGTCCCCTATTTATTATAGCTGGAAGTAAACAGAAAGATTTTTTATGATTTTTAATCATGTAAAACATACTAATCAAATCAGGTCACTAATCAAATTATCATATTAGTGACATTGATCGTATATTTCTTACAGATGGTCACTCAGTTGTTGCTTTCGTTGAAGCATAAAATGCTCTTTGGATTATTTTCAAATCATGCTGGATAACATAATAATTAGGCTTAAAATAAAAAAAATTTCCACGTGACAACAAACACAGTGTGAGCTGCAATGTCTGATTCAAATGACTCTTATGAAGGGCTTCTTTTTAATGAGACAGTCAAAAAGATTCCCAAAACAGTCTCAAAACTTTGCAGTCTGAATCAGATTCACTAAGTGTAACAGGGCTGACAAGACGTGAGACATGCGGATCCATGTGCAGGCTTTATTAAGCAGAGAGGTCAGAAACACAGGCAGGGTCGAACAAGGGCAAACAGGAATATGGCGGGCAAGACACAAGAATAATCCTAGGGCTAGCGAAGGTCAACGAACGGCGAACAGAGTCAAAAGGGGCAAGACTAAAGGGGTAAATCCAGGAAAACAGGCAAAGATCAGAAACCGAGAAAACAGGCAAGACTAGGCTAGGAGGCTAACGAGGGCTCTGTTTGTGACACTAAGTGAGTGAATCATTTAGAGCCATGAGTTCACAACTGACTCCATAACTAAACTAGAGTCATTACAGTTATGTCAGATTAAAAAAAAACCTTATGAACATATGTTGTTCATATGAAGCATGTAATTAATGAAAAATATTACAAAATATATTTTTCTAATATATTTTTAAAAAATGATTCTAAACAATCATCTCTAAACAGAAAATTTGTCATTAAAAACTAAATAAATTAATAAATTTATAATTTTAATTTATCAAATAAAAGCAAACAGTAGCAATTTCACAAATGGTCTCAAATTTTTGGACCCCACTGTATGTCCCACACACCTGAAAAGCTGAATATTTTGTTTACAACAACCACACTGAGACTGATCTAAATGAGTGAGTTTTATCAAATCACAATTTCCTAGAAAGCTATTTAACCAATGACACAGTATCAACTGCTATCAGAAACGGCTATCAACCTTTCAAGCTTTGCTACAGTAACCATGACATCTGAGCTTATCTTGCACACAGAAAATAAACAGGTAATCAAAAATGATTCATCAAATATAATATTTGCATTAGATGGGATACAAATCCAAGTCTTGCTTTCCTCGCGAGCAAAACTGACCTTGGCTTAAGATCACTGGCCAATGAAAAACTGGCATAATCAGTGTATGATAGCTTCCTTAAGAGGTGCCTAACATGACAGATAAAACAGTCTGGCTTAATGCAAGCCTAGGTGGACTAAAATTGATTTATTCAGTATGTAATTTCCTTTGTGAGGCACATCACATACAAAAAGCTGGGGAATCAAATGACTGACTCGCGACTGTGATTACATATTCTCAGCTGCTGCTTTTCCTCTCTCTCTCTCTCTCCATCCCTGTAATGATGTGATGATGAGAGCCGGAGAGCCGCCGGCGCGTCCCCGTGCATATACCCAAGACTCCCGCTGCACCCACTACCTACTGCAGCAGCGCCTGCTGATTGGCTGCTGGTGACATCACTGGTGTGCAAAACAAGCCTTGGAAGGTATGACTTCACTGTTTGCACAGCTGAGAGCAACAAGCGGTTAATAAGCAGCTCTCTCTCCTCTCCCCTCCAGATTTACTCCCGTTTACAATGAAAGACACAAGGGATCGAGCCAGTCAAACCACTTGAGCCCTGAGAGAAAAAGGATGTGCATTTACAACAGAGAGGACCCAAGCATTCTGTGCACTAAAAATCCAAACATCATTTGTTTGGTTTTGTTTGGTTTTTCAAAAGTATTTAATTTGGTAGGAAACATAAGCATGTGCCCCTTTAAAACTTAAATAAATAAATACATAAATAGAATTTAAGTTGCCCAACTATTTACATTTGCACTTACATATCAGTGTGTGGTTATTATTATAATTAGTAATAGCAGTAGTAGTAGAAATAGTGATGGGAATCTTGTGCATCCAAATGAACTGATCTTCAAAAGTCATTTCATTAATAGAGTGGTTGTTATATTTTTGTTATATTTCCAACAGCCACTCCCTTAACACATCCACCTATGCAATCTTGATCATATTCCAAATAAGGAAATCAAATGTAATGCAACCATAAATAAATAATATAATAGTATAAAATAAATATATAACATAACATAATAATACTACCCTTGGTAGAAGATGACAAACTGGTTTTCAGACTTTTTCGAGGATATGTTTTGATATGTATAAAAATTCAGACTTATCATCAAATTTGCACGAATATACTGATGGAAAGCATCAATATATTAGGCATACATTAACGATCTAGCAGCTCATCATCATCTTCACAGATCTTGCTCAACATTATAAATGAAGCGGAAGGCTGGAGGCACCGTACTTCCTTTGAAAATCCCACTTAGGAAAGTAGGTCAAAGTAACCCGCAAGTGCTCTGAGATTGTGAAGGATTTGATTCAGGACAGTGTGCTTCTTCTGAAAACACTGAATCAACACCCAAGAGTCATAATATTGCCATCTATTTCCACCAGTAACAAAATCAATATGGCAAGACAAATGAGAAATCTTAAAGAAAAAATCAGGAAATGCTCCAGTAAGTGTCTTTTTCATCATTGTGCCAGGCCTATAAATACACAAATTAAAGGCTATTGGCTATTAAAAAAAAAAAAAAAAGACAAGACTTCAAATATGTCCAGCGTTAACGTTCTGTTTCAATAGGAAGAAATTGGGACAGTAAAATACAATCACACCTGTTCAATTAACATGCCTATTGATCTGTTGTAAAATATAATTGTTTTAAAAGTTTGTTGTGCTCAAGAAAACGACTTAAGCATCTGTGTTAGCATCCATCAAGCATCTGAATATTTCAGAGGGAATCTTGTCAGATTGTTGCATAACTTTAATGAGCGGTGATGAGAATTTCTGATTTGCAGTGTAAAAAATGCACACAGCAGATAAACAGGATGGATCCTGACTGTGCAATTACAGCTAGAAGAGTTTATCACCTGACAGAACAACCGAACGACAAGTTAAAATTGTTTGTGTATGATTTGGGAAGAAAAGAAAAGGTGTTAAGACTGCAAATGGGCAAACACAAAGAAAAGGAATAAAAAGCTCAGCGGTACAGTGCAAATTAAATGACATTACCTCCCCTTGGTGAACAATAGACTGTAGCTTCCCCTGTAGCGTCTGGACCAATCAAAAACACAATTTTTCATTTGATTTAACAAATCAGTTATTCATTAGATTAACAAGTTCTACAGCGGATCTAAATATTTATAATTAATTATAACTAGTTATGATTAATTATTCATATTTCCCTTATGAGCTGATTCGCTACAGTGAACAACAGACTGTAGCTTCCCCATTCATCAGCATCAGACGATTCTGACAAGGCTGATAAAAACCAAAATACCATGGTGGCTTTGAAAACTAATGGCGCTCTAATGGAAGGGAAGGACTTGACCTAGATCGGCTGGATCACACCACCCCTGCCATGGATCACTCACAGAGTTCACACAAAACCCTCAGAGGTTCAGGCTCTCGGTTTTCGAGTCCCTACCAGCTCTTGTCTCCTCTAGCAGAGCTGCTCTCTGATTTCAGGTGACTTAATCATATGATTACAGCTTGAGCAGAATAAACAGACTCTTGAGCTAAATAGCTAATGATTCTTTAGCTCATGATACAGATTAATTCAAATGTGGATAATTAGATTATTTCATGCTACTCTGTATGCAGGCCAGAGATAACGGAAATTCCCTCTCCTTTATGTTTACTGTAACTATATTTATTGATAAGACTTAGTACACATGCAATGGATGCTATGGGAAGACTCACACAGAATCTGCACTTATTTTGTTATATATTTTATGCTTATCATGAAGGAAATTTTTGAGTTAAGTGAATAGTTTACCCAAATATGATCATTTTGAATCATTGTGTGAATCGTTATGAGTTGTTCTAAAGTACTAAAATCAGTAATCAGTTTGATTCGGTTCTCTAGTTCAAATCGCTGATTCAACTGGAAAACACATTATTAAAAAATTGACTTAAATTTAGGTCTGTTCCTAACAAAAAGCTATCAAATGACTTATAGATGAATATAGAATGAACTACTTACATCACCATTCAAAAGATTGGGGTCAGTAAATTTTTTTTAAAATAAATTAATACTTATTTCAGCAGGGAGGCATTAAATTGATTTAAAAGAAATGTTACAAAAGACTTCTATATCAAACAAATGCTGTTCTTTTAAACTTTCTATTGATCAAAACATCCTGAAAAAAGTGACAGCTTCCAAAATCAGTACCAAATCAGCAAATCAGAATGATTTCTGAAGGATCATGTGACACTGAAGCCTAATAGCAATGGCTGCTGAAAATTCAGCTTCACAGGAATGAATTTTAGGATATATTAGAATACAAGAACATATTTTAAACTGTAATAATATTTCATTCTATTACAGTTTTGACTGTATTTTTTATCAAATAAATGCAGCCTTGGTGTATAAGTGATTTCTTTCAAAAACATGAAAAAAATCGTACTATCCCCAAACAGGACCCATATATATGGGGAGTGAAGACAGTATATCTCAGAAAAT